TGCTGTGCTTTAACCCGCTGCGCTACCAGGGAGGGCCAACACATGCCTTTTGCAGCAACATGGATGGAGCTGGAAAAGGTCATGCTTAGTGAAATAAGCCAGAAAGAAAAGGAAAAATACCAGATGGTTTCACTCATAGCAGGAGTATAATGGTGAGAAAATAATAATAATAATGAACAGCTATATATCAGAGACATTTTATGGGGGCAGAGTGGGGAATGGGATCAAAAACAGTGGGCGGAAGGAAATGAATGGGATTGTGGTGATGGCACATGGGTGATTTGGTGACGGGAAGCCCAAGGAATTACAACTGAGATGGAAAAAGGCACAAAATGATGTAAAAATAAACTATTATATTATTTTAAAAATAAATAAAGTAGCTGCTTTAAAGAAAAAAATGGGTTTTCCTTCTGTGTGTATCCTACATCTTGCCAATGGCCTTCTGAAGGTGTGACTGTCTTGGACAGGTTTCAGGAACCAGGAGAGATGAATTCTTCTCCAAACTCTGAAACTAACTGGCTGGGTGAACACAGATAAGTCACATTTGTGTCCTATAAAAGGAGGGATGCAGACTAAATGACATAGTAGACGGTTCCTTGTGAGTTTCTTTCCCTTGCTGTCCTGAGATCTCTAGGTAGGCCTATTTTGAACATGAAGCTTAGTAAAGGGAACCCTGCTAAAACTCCATGATGGCTACCAGAAGGGTCTATGTGGCAGAAAGAAACATGCTGAGGCAGGTAAGAAAATAGCCAAAAGGCTTCCTGAGGTCTTAGTGTGGAGACAAATAGTCCAGTCTGCACACCCATGATTACCTGTGTATCCAGCTGGGCAATGAGGAAGCAGAGAAAGACCACGCCCACCACACCCCCAGGGCTCCACACAAGCCATCTCATTTCATTCTCTCAGAACTCTGAGATAGTTCTTACTCTCCCTACTTTCTGGATGAAGAAACTGAGGTTCAGAGATGTTATGTAAATTGCCCAAGATCACACAGTCAGGAAGCCGAGCAGACATGAGAGTCCTTTCTGGCCTGAAATATTAAAGTATTTACTCAGTTCTCAAGTCCTGTGCAGCCTACACACAACCACTACAACAAGGCTCATCTCATCCACATCGTGGTTTGACTAATTTCACACTTTTTTTCAAGAACCTCGCTCTCAGGCCCAGCACAATGCTCCCACTCATCTCTGCAGATCTCTAGACTTAAAGTCTATGACAAAACCAGTCTCTCCATAGTCCTGGGGAACAGATGTCTGACAACAAAAATGATTTGAACTTCAGGAACAAGGAGAATTGATCTCTACTTCTGGAAGGAGGGACACTGGACATTCTGAAGGATCAGTAGCATCCCTGTGCAATGCTTGCAAATAGGAAGAGAAAGCCAGTTGGTGGCACCAGCCTGGGCTAGAGGCAGGAGGTCTATAAGGCTTAGGACAAGCCACCTCTGGCAGTGTCTACCCCCCAGAAGTGTCAGGAGATCCAGCACGTCTGTGTGCTGGTGGGGATGATCCAGGAGACAGGAACACCTGACGCAGAAGAGCCAGTTTGAAGTCTGGAGGACGTCAGCATCACGGGCTCCTTAGACAAATGCAGGTGCAGCCTTCAATAGAGATAAGGACGCTCATCCTTTATTACAGGCACGCAGGGCGAGAACGGCTGTCAGCACAGGTAAGGGGTGGAAAGGCTTGAGTTCCCATTGGCATTTGAAGGAAATGCGAGCAGGCTTATAGGTGCAGACAGGAAAGATGGGAGAAAGGTGAGGAAACAAGCACCTCTGGGAAGTCAGGGAGAGGAGAACACCCACTTACCTGCAGCTGGTACTGTTACAGGACATCCCAAATCTGTTAGAGGATAGCAAATCTGTTTCAGGACAGAGAGAGAGGTGCACCCCTGAACCCCAAACCTGCCTGCTTTACGTGGGTTCTGCCATCCGCTGCATTAAGACAAAACCTATAAAACTTTAATGAAAAGGGACTTTAATACAGTGAATATACAATATGGAATACAAAGAATATAACTTCTACATCAAACACCTGAAGTTACCCATCCCCTCGTGGGCAAAAGTCAACCCAAAAGGAATTGGCCCAAAGCAAGGCCTGAAAGCCCGCCACAAGACTAAAGCACCTTCTGGCCGGGACCCATGGAAAAAGACCCATTTCTCCATCACATCTCAGGCACCTACCATCATGGTCTTGTGGCCAGACAAATCTAGGAGGAAAAGAGCAAAATCAAAATCAAGATAAACACTGCCACAGTCACCTCCCTACAAGTCTCTCACCCACATCTGCCTTAACCAGTCCAGGACCAGGAAACAAGCACGGTTTCTTCATCACATGCTTGCTGCTCCATGTGTCTTCCTCAGGTCTCCTTCTGGCTCTCTATCCAGCTTCCTTCTCTTACTCTCTCCTCTGATTCCTTCTCTTCTCTCCTTTTTCTCTGCTCAGCTCCACCCTCCTTCTGGGTGGGGCAGGGAACCTGGAACTCCCCCTTTTCCTAGGGACCACCCTGTTACAGTACCAGAACTTTAAAGTGGGACCAGTGAGTGTGACTCAGTTGCTTGAGTGCAGGCATTGAGTGGCAGACAGCGGGTTTAACCAGATAGCCATGAATGAAGTGTAGGGCAAAGAGGGGCAGTTAGAGAATTGGGAGGATCAGCCACGAATTCTCAGTTGGCTAAAGAGGGAGATGAGTCATGGTCGATCATGGGGAAATGGGAAAAGGTAGATAGATGAGAGCTGTTGGAATTGAAGGCTCACTGAGATCAGCGCACTAAGAGCTACAAGGGAAAGGGTTGCAGTAGGGACCCCACTGGGGAGGATTTTGGGGTTTGGCTATCAGTGAGAAGGTCAAGCACAAGACCGTGAGGGTGGGTGCCTGAGATGGGATGGAGAAGCAGGTGAGGAATTTGCAGACCTGATAGCCAAGGTCCTGGATGGCTTGTTGAAATTGCTAAGATTTAATTCGAATCATAATAGGAACAAAGATAATGAGCCAATGTTGGAGTCCTCACTAATGAGGAGGTAGATTACAGCTATAAAGAGGCAGACAGCTCTCTTTAAATGATGAGGGAGGAGAAATAGAAGCAGTGGTGGGAAATATGATATTGTGGTTTATAATAAATATTTATTTGGTCTTTGCCCATTTCTGGCACTGACCTCCAGAAACCCTTGGGATTGCCTAAGTGATGAAAGCAGAAATCTGCCTCTGCCTTTTGTTATGTTAGACCCCCATCTTTGCCGAGGGCTGGCTGGGGGCCTGGAGAACAGGCAATTAGATACTGGTGCAGCCCCGCCTCCCCCTCCAGGGAGAGAAGGCTTGGAGGTTGAACCAAGTGCCAATGGCCAGTGGTTTAATCAACCACGACTATGTAATGGAGCCTCCATAAAAGTAAAGCCCAAACACAGGGTGGGCTTTGCAGGACGCCTGGGTTGGTGAGCACACAAGTAGGGACTAGGGGAGGAGGATTCGCCTGGAAGGGACAGGGCAGCTCCCAGCCCTTTCCCGCATGTCTGCCCAGGGCCTCTCTCTGGTAATTCAGTAAGTGAAATGTTTTTTTTTTTTTTCTGAGCTTTTGTAAACTATTCTGGCAAATGAATTGAAACGAGGAGGGGGCAGTGCTAACCTCTGCTTAACAGCTAGTCATTCAGAAGTAAGGTGACAACGTGCACTGGGTTGGTGTCTGAAGCCCAAAGGAGGGAGGGGGGGGGCTTGTTGCGACCTCCAATGTATTGCTGGAGATCAGAAGCACAGGTAACAACCTAAGCTTTTTTTTTTTTTTTTTTAAAGATTTATTTATTCGTACAGAACTGGGGTACAGGCCATAGATGCGGAGGGTGAGAGGATTCACCAGAGACAGAGCGGGAAGCAGAACAGGCAGATGGACGAAGTACAACGCTGAGGGGAGCAGCGGGCGGGTCAGGAGAGGTCTGCCACGCCATGTGGTCACCTCCAGGGCAGGCGGGGATTGAACTCATGTTGAAGTGGCTGTAGCTTCTTAGTGCTGTGCTTTACCCCGCTGCGCCACCAGGGAGGGCCCACCTAAGCTTTTTTTTTTTAAGATTTTTATTTATTTATGCATACAGAACTGGGGTACAGGCCCAAAGGTGCAGGGGCAGTGAGAGAATTCACCAGAGACAGAGTGGGGAGCAGAACAGGCAGATTGATGAGTTACACTGCTGAGGGGAGCAGCAGGCAGGTCAGGAGAGGTCTGCTGTGTCATGTGGGTCATCTCCAGGGCAGGGATCTAATTCACACTCAAGTGGCTGTGGCCAGCTTGCAGTGCTGTGCTTTAACCTGCTGTGCCACCACAGAGGGCCTCCAATCTAAGCTTTTAACTGGCACCTAAAACGGGGTATTAAGGAGTTCGGCAGGCTGGGAGGACAGAGCCCTTAACCTGTGTACCTGACACTCTCTCCAGGTCGATGGTGTCAGAATTATCTTGAATTGTGGGACACCCAGCTGGTTGTTCTGGGACTCGGGAAGGGTGGAGACCACCTCCTTGTGGTCTCCTCAAAGAAGGCTGCACAGGAGGTGGGATCATCAGGTTAAGCTCCTTTTGTGAAGAGAGTATGCTTGTGATGGACCAGATGGTTTGAGGTCAAAAGGGTGGAAAATAGACTGTTCTTCCTAATACAACTTACAACTTTCATATATTTTCAAGTTGCTTTTGGGGGGTGGGAAGAATTGGAGCAGATGAAGGGCCATCCTGGCATGACTACCCACAGGGAAGCTGGTTGTTTTGTGTTCTGTTTATCATCTGATGCTTTGGAGCTGACTGGCTTCTTTTCTTAGGGGATGCTGACTCGCTGCCAACCCTCCCCCCCACTCCCCCCCACCTCCCCGCTCTTCCTCCCCAACTCCTCTGTTCTAGCTAGGAGCAGGCTCAGGTCCCTGCCTATTGGGTCAGGCCGACCCACCCTGAAAACAGTTCTTACACATCTGCTTCTGCACCCACTGCTCAAATATCTAAACTAGGTGTTTTATTCGCACACTTTTAACAGGTTCCAAACCTCACTGCTGGCAGGAAAGAAGTTGGGACACACCACCACAGCCCAGTCCCTATGGGTTGTAGCCTCTCCCGGATAAAGTAGCAGGCATCGTGCAGAGTTGCAGCAAAGGCACTGTTGCAGCACTGTGGGAGGACTCAGTGGACTCTGCTGCTTTCAGCTAAAAAGGACTTGCCTGTACCAGAAGGTAGTACCTCCTCCAGTACCTCCCCTCCCCCACCTACCCCCACCCCCTTTTTTGTTCCACCCTGGTTTGCAACCCCTGCTGCAATCATCAGACCAGAATTGGCAATATTAATTTATAGGCCTTTACACCTATAATTTAACAGATTAAATTACACCCGTGTGGAAAGAGCTGCCAGACACACTTTCCAGGAAGAAGATGGGGCAGGGTCAGCACCTGCAGTTTGTGGACTGTCTGAGCACCAGCTGGCTATCTGTTGCCCGCACTTCATGCACTTTAGCTCTCTACATCACAGTGCTTGTCTCTGCCCATTTCCTTGAACCCTAATCATACTCTTATGTGTTCTTGACCAGACTCTAGAAGTCTCTTGGAACTCCATAATTTAGATCCTTCTGCTCCTGGCCAGTTCCAAGCTGTTGCCACTCAATTCCTCAGAAGGCAAAGAGAGCTGAAATATGGAGGGGTCTTAAGTAAGAGGTTAGGCTGAAAATTCTCTTATATTATGAAGTCAGAATCTCCCCAACAGAGCAATCTTTACCAAAATGGACCCCCGCCCCCAAATATGTTACAAACTGTTGCATGCCTACCTCAGTAGTAGGTATTGGGTGGGACTATAATATCCAGGGAGGCTGACCTTGTTTCCAGATGGCAGAATGAGACACAACTTGGACTTGAGGTATGCCTTGAGAGTCCATGGTAACATATTAAATTTCACCAGTCATCATCACAACTGATAATTCTTAAAACTATCAGAATGGAAAGGAAATTTTCACACTTTAAGATGAATGAAATTTCCACTTCTGTAGGATGAAGAAAGCAGAAAACATTATGATATATTTATTTAAAAAAAAAGAACACAAATTAGTATACACATAAATAAAAACAGTATGCAAAATTTATTGTCACATGACAAAATATTAAGAAGAGCGAAAAACCAGTGGAAAACTGAGGACAATTTTTGAATAAACCACAAAGGAATATTCAGATAACCAATAAGCTTGTAAAAAAGCATACAACACCATTAGCCATTTTGGAAATGAAAATTAAACTCACAATGAACTAGCAGAAGCATCAGCTTGGTTAAAATTAATAAATAAAATTAATACTAAGAATTGGTGAGGACTGAAGCAACCAGACTCTCATATATGGTGAACAAATGGTCAGTGTAGAAACACGTGGTAAGGCCCTCCCTGGTGGCATAACGGGTTAGGACGCAGCACTGCAACCACTTCAGTGTGAGTTGGATCCCCGCATCCCCGGCCACGGAGGTGACCACGTGGCATGTCAGACCTCTCCTGACCCACCTGCTGCTCCCCTCAGCAGTGTACTTCGTCGATCTGTTTGTTCGGCTCCCCACTCTGTCTATGGTGAATCCTCTCACTGCCCCTGCACCTCT